GCACCCGCTGAGCTCTCCCTGGAGCTCCTTCCTCACCCTAAAGCCAGGTTTTATATTTTTTGTTCTTTTATGTTGGTTTTATTTGGTTTGTTCTTTTATCCCAAAAAAAAGCAGCCAGGCCAAAACTCGCGGCGGGCAAAGTCCGAGCGGGGCAGGGGAAAGAGAAATGTCCGGGATCAAAGAGTTCCCAGATGGCACAGCAGAGAGCCACTGACCCCAATTAATGCTCAGAGTTAATGAATCCCTCCGGGATGTAAAACACTTCCCTGAGGTGCGCAGGGTTTGTGCTGGGGCCGGGAGCTCTGCGTGCTCTGGGGTCGCTGTCCATGCTCTGGATGGGATCAGGGAAGGTTTTCCAGCAGGGAAAAGATTCCAGGGGGGATAAAATCTCCGCCTGACTCCTGGAAGCGAGCCCTGAAGCGGGCAGGTCAGAGCAGAGCCAGCAGGATTTGGGGACAGCCAGAGCTCAGGTGTCACCTCTGGGGTCACACCCTGCCCTGGCCAGTCTGGATTTGTCCATCTCCAATCCCATTTATTCCCTGGCTCTGCTTTCTCCGGGTGCCCCAGGAGATTGGGGGGGAATTGGGGACGAGCTGGGACATTTCTACAGGAGTTGTCCCAGTTTTTGCAGGGGATTGCTGCAGGGATTCGTGTCCCCAGCGAGCTCTGTGGTGACAGCAGCGCTGGGGGAGGTGACAGAGCCTGGGCTGCTGCAGAGCCCGGCAGGGCAGGGCTGGAGCAGGGATTTATTTGGGAGGGGTTCGATGGGCAAATCAAAGCTGGGCTGAGCCGGGGGGGTCATTCTGTCCTGGGGAGGGACAGGGGACATGGATCGGCTCCTGGGGGAGCTGGGGGCTCCGGGAGGGTTGCAGCAGTGTTTAAAGGAGGATCTGAAAGCCCCAAGCTTTGGGGTCGCTCCTTTCTGCTCAGCACCCCCAAATCCGAGCAGACGGCCCAGGGGAGAGCAGAGCCAGCAGGATTTGGGGACAGCCAGAGCTCAGGTGTCACCTCTGGGCTCACACCCTGCCCAGTCTGGATTTGTCCATCTCCAATCCCATTTATCCCCTGGCTCTGGCTGAGTTTGGGATAAAGGAGTGGGAACAACCCTCAGCCATGAACACTCCCGTGTCCCCTGGAGGCTGACAACAAACCCTGAGAATAAATCCCACACCTGGGGCAGGTGGAACTTTTAATACAATGTATATTTATTGCAAACAATAATATACAAAAAAAAAACAAACAACCAAAACAAAACAAAAAAAAAAGGTAAGTTTCACAAAGAGAAGGATCTTGCAACCAAAACCAAACCAAACTTACCTAAAGACAAAATATGATTTAAAGGACAGGTCTTTTAAGTTACAGAAATACTTTAAAAAGATCTGCTTTTATACAGAAATAGAAAGATGCCATATTATAAGAGTGCTTTAAGATTTTTTTTTTCTCCTACTGAATCCCTAAAAAAAAAAAAAAGTTAACAAATATATCATTATTTTTTTTTTTTAAATAAAAAAAGTCTGCTGTCTTTTTTAAAAAGCAATCCTTAACTGTTCAGCCACAGCTTCACCAAAATCAGTGTCCCCCCCACCTCTCCCAGGCAGTTTTTTTGGGGGGGTTGAAGGCTAAAACGGTGCCACCCCTGCAGCAGGGCTGGGGTGTGGGGCTCGTCCTTGCACGAGCTCGTGTGTCCCAGAGAGCTGAGGCAGGAAACAAGGCAAATGATTCAGTGATCCGCTACATTTGCAATCTTTAGTTTGTACAAATCTCATTTTTTTTTATTTTTTTTTTCTTCCTTCTTCCAGTTTCTCCTCCGAGGCAAGAGACAAAAAAAAAAAAAATAAAATAAAATAAAACCTCAAAAAAAACCAAAAATAAAAAAAGGAAGAGCGCAAAGTTTGTACAAACCCAGGACACAGATTCCAAAAAGAATAATAATAATAATAATAACAACAACCAAAAGGAATTAAAGAGATAAATAAAGGACTGGTTACAGTTTCAGACCATAATTTAACAGGCACGGTCACCCCCTCCCCAAACAACGCTCCCAACTAACGCAACGCTTCCCAAAGGACTCACGGGGGAGATCCAAACAACAAAACCCAAGGAAAATCGTGATTCAAAGCTGCTCTTCTCCCCAAATAAATAATTTAAAGGGTCTCAGAGGTCTCCCTGGCTGGGTTTGGCACCCTGGAGTGGGCAGGGGGGGCCCGGAGGGGTCGGGCTCAGCCCCCAGCCCGTGATTATCACGGGGCTGCTTTAAGGCTTCTCTGCAGCGCTTCGGGGCTGCTCCACGCACTGATTTCTTTTTTGTGGGGGTTTTTATTTTTTATTTTTTTCCCCTCCTCTTTTTTGTTTTTCTTTTAAGGCTCGAGGTTATTTAAAAATAAAGTGAAGTTCTCCTCCTGGCTGGTTTTGCTACGAGTTAGAAAAATAAAGCCTCTCCCATGCTGGTCCCTGCCCCAGTGCTGGGTTCCCAGGGCAGAGCACGCTGGTTTAGTTTCATTTTTAGAGCAAAAAAAAGACACTTCTCTATACAAAAATACCTCTGCAAGAAAACCTAGGGCTGCTCCACTAAGTGTCATTTTTTTTTTTTAGCTGTTGGAAAAATAAGAGCATTTCCAAAAAAAAAAAATCTCTAAAAAATAGGTATAAATCCCCTCAAATTGGTAACGAATCATACACAGTACATACTAAAAATATTTAAAATAGAGAATATTCCTCACAGAGGACTCCGAGCTTTCTCTTTTACCCCCCATTTTTTTCTTCTTTTTTTTTTTTTTTTTAAATTTTTTTTTTTTGTCTTTCTTTTAATTACTGCTATAAAAACAACAACAAAAAAAAAATCATTACAAAAGTCCAGAGAAGGAGCCAGCTGGGCGGGTTGGGTGGAAATCTCTGAAGCAGAGTTCAAGTCCAGTCCTTGGCGAGTCTGTCCCAAATTTTGGGGCTGGGAGCGGGTGCTGGAGGATGCTGTAGTGCAGAAGGCTCGAGGCGCTCTCTCCTCCCCGCCAGCTTCCACGTGAGTCTGTTTTTAATCATTATTTCAACTACACGATTTCAATTTCAAACACCGAACCAGTCCGAGGCCACTCGTTCTCGCTGCTTCCGCTCTCTTCCCGTTATTCTTCCCATCCGAAAATTTTCATTTTTGCCGGGTCGCCGCCGTTGATTTTTTTATTATTATTATTATTTTTTTTTTTGAAAACTTTTTTTTTTTTTTAATTTTTTTTTTTTTTTGCCGGCCTTTTTCTCCCCCGCCGCGCTCAGGGCCGGGTGAGCTGCGTGTAGACGGGCTGCTCCCAGTGCTGCGGGCTGTGGGTCTGGGGGATGGAGGGCACCCCTGCCGTGTCTGCGATGGGCGTGTACATGGGGCGCTGCGTGGGGCTCATGTAGCTGAAGGTGGAGTAGAGCCCGCTGCCCTGCCCGGCGTGGCTGTAGTAGGAGCCCGAGGAGCCCTGGTGCTCGCCGTACTCGTACTGAGCGCGGCTGATGCTGGGGTAGGACGAGCTGTAGTGCTGCAGGTTGAAGGAGCCGTAGCCCAGCTGCTGCTGCTGCTGCTGCTGCTGCTGCTGCTGCTGCTGCTGCGGGGAGTGCTGCTGCTGCTCGCTGTAGTGGCTGGGGCTCAGCTGCTCCGTCTTGATGTGCGTCCTTTGCTGCTGCTGCTGCTGCTGCGGGCCTTGCTCCGCGCTCAGCGCCTGCTGCTTCGACATCCACACGTGGCCGGCGGCCGGCGGCGTGCCCGCGGCGCCGCTGATGCCGTAGCTGCCCGTGTAGGTGACCTGGCCGGGCTGCCCGGGGTGCCCGTTGGGCGGCAGGTACTGGTCGAACTCGTTGACGTCGAAGGTCTCAATGTTGGAGATCACGTCGCTGCTCAGCTCGCCGATGTCCACGTCGCGGAAATCGATGTGCGGCGGCTGCCGGCCGCCCTCGCCCAGCGAGCGGCCCTCGCGCTTCAGGTCCTGCTTGCTGGGCTGCGGGTCCGTCTTGGGGGTGGTGGGGGGCGT